ATTTAAGTCAACTAAAAAAATAATTTGAACCAACTGTTACATTAAATTTATTTATCCCACATAAATAAATTATCAAAAAAAAATTAATTTGTGACAAATATTTCTTCTTTGATCTATTTAACAATAACCCGACAATTAAGGTATTTATAACACTCCATATATTCTATTTAAATAGATATTTGAATAAACGAAACAAAATGTTTATTTTTTCTATTTAAAGGTACAAGCTTCATAACGTATGTTATGAATGAAAATACGAATAGAAGATGTCCCTAGTGCTAGTGTATACACTTATGTATATGTACTTATATATCAAGCGGAACTCGAGTATGCAGCTGTTCTAGATGATAGGGCGGCGAATAGCTAGACAATGAAGGGTGCTTGAACAAGTCGATATTATATATATATATATATATATATATATATATATAAAAAAGGGGTTGTCCAGGTGTTGCGAATGTCAGAATCACCGTTACAAGAAGACGTCGTGTGAAATTAATCAAATTTTTTTTATTATTTCTTCTTTGATATCAAGAAAATTTTTTACAAGACTGAGATCTGGAAATAGAATTAAAGTCTTAATCTCGGGAACCGGATGGGGTAGCAGAGATGTCGGTGTGCTGATGTGCTCGAAAAAGCAGATAAGAGACTGTGCTGGGGGAAAACTCAGGATTATTCGAGAGCAGATGAGATGGAGAGAAGAGAGAACCTTAAAGTGGCATACGCTCTTGAAATTTCATCTTTAGCTGTTGTGGCGGGCGGTCTTGCTCTTATTTGTTCTCTCCCTCACAACAGAATTTTTATTTCTATCTTTATCCCTCTGTACTTAGAGCTAACTTTACTCTCTTTACTCTTATCCTTCTTTTGCTCTTGTTTAACTGCTGCATTTGCGAGTACGTGACTCTGATTGAGTACGATTGAGGCCTACGTTGCTTTACATTACTCAATTGTTCTTTTATTATTTTTTTACCGTTCATTATTCACTCTTTATATTATTTGTTCTCTTCTTTAAATTTTTTATTTTTTATTCATTGGGAATGTATTACGAATGACTGAACAAACTCGTCGAGCAATTGTTGAGAGCAATAAACCGTTCGGTTAAGCAGAATAAACTTTTTACACTCCAATTTGCCTTTACAATGTACTAATAGTGTACACATAATATTATTGAATTACTTACAAAACTTCCAGTTATAAGTTGAGTTATTCTTGCTGTTCCGTGAATTTTATAACCATATTCATCAGCTATTTTAATAAATTTATTTTCTGTTAATCAAAACCGATTCCTGGAGCCGCGATCGCGATAGTTTTAACGGGTCTTTATGGAAATTATATCATTTCTTTACTATTTCTTCGTCTACTTTTTAAAATAGGTTATGATATAATTAGAAAGGTTTTCAGTTAATTTTTTGTCAGTTTTCATGTTCTAATTCTAAGATTTAACGCAATACAATCTAGAATTTTGAAGGTTTTAAGTTTTAACGGAAGTAATAAATATCAGTTCGTAGTTGGAAAAATCAAAAACTCGATTATAAATTAGTGCTAATTTTTTTTAATAAAATTCATTTTATAATCTATATTATTAAGAGAATAAGAAAAATTTTGTCTCCAGGATAGTCATATGATAAAATCGGTTTTTTTAAAGTGAAATTTAGTGTTATTGCAAAGGCCTTGACTTGAATTTGAACTTTTTCGAGATTTCATATCATTCTCACCGATAGTCAATTTATGATGATAAGTATTTGGGCTGCATTTCAAAATACTCTATCTCTAGATAAATAATTAAGAAATGACCTTTTATCTTGTAAACTATTGACATTTTTAAAGATATAAGCTCATCCCGACATTACACTCATCAAGACCTTTCATTTAAGTACCTACATGCATTTTTGATATATTTTTCATATATACATATATGTATAAATATATAAAATATATATATATATATGAAAA